TTGTTTTTGTTTTTGTTTTGAGACAGGATCTCATGGTAGCCCCAGCTGGCCTGGCACTTGCTATGTGAACTAGGCTGACTTCATCTCACAGAGCTCTTCCTGCCTCTGCCTCCCAACTGCTGGGACTAAATGTATGCTCCACCATGCCCAGAAGCCCTAATGACTATTTTAAAAAGATATTTAAAGGCAGAGAAGGGGATGAGGGAAAGAATAATGAACACTAAGGATACTTGAAGAAGCTATATGGAAGCCTACTATTTTATATACTCTGTGTGTGTGTGTGTGTGTGTGTGTGTGTGTGTGTGTGTGTGCATAAGAATTAAATGGTGTTACCCTACATGGGGCTACTCCTTCTCCCAGAAGTAAAGGGTTGCCAAACAAAAAGACTGGTGTTAGGTTAGGCTACTTCCCCTTGAGTAATTGGTCAGGGGAGGTTTAAGAGACCCCTAAATAATATAAGCTATTGTCATTGCTCTTGGCTACCCACCATAACCTGATGGTAATATTCTATTGCTGAAGACATCACACATTTTGGTCACAGGTTTGGAGAACTCAAGGGAATACTAACCTGGAAGCTTTTTCCTTGATAGCTAGCTTTCATAGTACTGGAAGGTGTTGTGCAGGTTGCTGGGGGAGAAAAATCATCAATAGTTTTACCTATCTGCGAATCCTCGGTGCTACAATAACTAAAGGTCTGGCAAAATATACCCATGGGAGGGTATATAGTGGCATGACCAACCACTTTCTGCTTGGATTTAAGGCCTGTTCCACAGAAGGAAATTCATGATGGATAGTGTAAATCTGATCAAGAACTGCTGTGTCCTTTAATTTTCAACTTGACGCTGCCTAGAGTTATATGAGAAGAAAGCCTAGATTGAGGAATTACCTAGGTCAGGTGTCCTATGAAGATGTCTGTACGGGATTGTCTTGATTGTTAATATAGGAGGGCCCACTGTAAGTGGAACTTTCAGGTATTCCTGAGCTGTACAAGAAGGCTAGATAAGTATGAGCCTGTGCGTGAGTCAGTAAGCAATGTTCCTCTCTTGATTTCTGCTTCAGTAGTTGATTGAGTTCCTGTCCCAACTTTCTTCAGTGATGGACTATCACCTAAAAATATAAGCCAAAAATTTATTTCCTTCTTTATGTTGCTTTGGTCAGAATGTTTTATCAGAACAAAAACTAGAACATAGTGGATGGGGAGTTCATAGGCCAGAGGAATTAACTTACTACTATTATTCTGCTAAATAAATATATTATTACACTGCCTTCTAAATTCATAACTCTATCCCCATAGATTAGTGCAACTCTCACTCCTCATCAAAGAATCTTCTTTGTGAGCAAGGAATTGTGGCACATGCCTTTAGTCCCAGCACTCAGGAGGCAGAGGCAGGCAGATCTCTGTGAGTACACAGCGAATCTGCTCTACATAGTGATTTCTAAGCCAGTTGAGTCTACAAGGAGACCCTGTCTAAAAATAAATAAATAAATAAAAGACCAAAAAGGAGAAGCTTTTTTATGTGATGGACAGCAATTAAAGCAGAGACTCATAACTGGTGAAAATGCAGTAAATAAGTGTTTATGGAGTATTCAGCCATAAATGGGACACCTGTATCATGCACCCTCCATGCAAGGCTCAAGGAACATCTCTGAAGAGAGGATAGAAAGATTGTAAGAGCCAGAGGTCAGGGAGAACTGGGGCAAAACAGTGTTTTCTGACCATGACAGGAACAATGAACTCATGAGCTCATAGCAGCTCTGGTTGTCTGCACAAGCAAGACCTGTAAAGATCAAGCCAAACAACATTCCAGCATGGATGGGTGAGGGGTACATGAGCCCCCACCCCTTGCTAAGGAGCTACTGACAGTTGATGACTGCTAAGGTAGGGTCAGTTTTCTTTAGGGATGTGGTTCCTGGTAGACTGTCTATACTAC